GGTTGGAAACGGTTCCCCTCCCAGGCTTCCTCCATGCAGATGTGTGGGGACAGCGACACCTGGGATCTGCGGGGTCCACCCAATTGGAAGGTGCCAGGTTGGGAAAGCAGCTTTATACAGAAGTGGCAGCCCTGCCAGGGGAAATGCCCAGTGGCATGGAAAGGGCCTGAAAAACCATTTAAAAGGGGGAGGGGATCACAACGTTGCTCCTCCCTCCATCTCACCTTATTCTTAAGCGTACCAAAAAGGTAGGCATCAAAAATACCAACGCTCTATTCCTAAAAACACAGCTGAATGGCAAAGCCACACGCTCGGTGTGCAAAAAGTCTAGCCACTGGTACGCCTCAAGGTATGGATGGCAAAGCTGTCGTCCGAAAACCCTGCAGGTCTGTGGCCTCTCAGTAGGTGAGCCTGAGTTTAGTGAACTAGTGGGCTCCCTTAGTTAAGGCAACAGTTTTCTACCTGGGGGAGCTTCGCCTGTGCTGGGGAAAGTTGTACCCACCAAAAAAAAAATTTTTTTTTTTAATGTCTTTTGGAGAATTAAATGAGGTTAAAAAGAAAAAGTCAGGGCTTTTTGAAGAAATGGACCTTGACAATGAACTTGGGCATTACTGCAGCTGTTTTCATTTGCAACCCTCTGAATTGAGAAAACCAGGTATTTGTTAGAAGTGCTAAGACAAAGTAAACTATTTTGCCTAAGATGGCATTTCATATTTCGTTTGCTGAAGGATTTTGGAGGTGTGACAAGACCACAAGCAAGAGTAAAGAAGAAATGTGAAGCCCTAGGGAAGGGAGGCAAGAAGGATCTGGAGATCCATGTTGCACATTACTTAAGGTGCCACCATTTTTATATGCTGTATCCCCAGACTCGCTGGGAGTCAGGCAGCATATAAATTATTATTGTTGGTCAGCCAGATGTTTAGACTGGATTTGGCATTTTTATCAACTTATCAAGTCCTTCCCAGGGACCCGGGATAGACAGATGTTGTCTGATGGTGTCAAAGGTATCGTTGCAGGATCTAAGCTGTTCCAAGTAAAGGTGCCTTTGACAATTGACTGTTGGTGACTTTGTCAATGCTGATGGTGTTCAAGTGGTGCTCCAGATGTTTTTGGACTGCGCCCAAGGCGCCTATAACTATTGGTCCTATCTTTGCTTGCTTTTGCCACAGTCGTTCTATTTGCAAGTCTTCGTATTTTGTGGTTTTCTCCGGTTCTTTCTCTTCTATTCTGCTGTCTCCAGGT